AGTACAGCTGCGAGAACAGACTGCACGCGAATATTGGTCAGCCGACTAATAAAGACACGTCGCACGTATCGAGACAAAGACTACACCACGTCGCATCTACCGCTAGACTGCTTTTTTTCGTAGGATACCGTACGACGACTAACGAGCAACTTGCATACAAATTCGACATGTTTTAATAAACGAAACCGTGTCGAGTGTAAATGTACCCGAGCAATATTCGTATCAAATGGCTTGACGCTTTATCGCTAATTACACTTTGCACTTAACATTACGCTACCATAATTTCTTGCATTAAAAAAAATATGATAGAAAGTATTGAAGATCGTTGAAAAAGTTTGAAGTGAAGCTTTCGTAGGCTTTTAAATAAATGCAATAATTTTTAAGATATACAAGCTATTACTATATTAGTGCATTTATAATTTATAATGCAAATTTCCAAATCTGCAAATATATCCGATATTTTTCCCATATAGAAGTTCCCACATATCCGAACCTCATAAATCAAGAAGTCATAACTCTCAGACAGAAAGAAAACCAATTCCTCACCCTTCTTCTCTTTCACCGAAGAAGTAGAAGCTGTCGAAGCTTCATCGGGCACATCCACCGCTCGTTCTTCTTTACCAGTGACAATTTCGTTCAACCCCTTCGATTCCTCCTTGGCTACCTCCTCTTTACTGCACTCTACAGTGCTCTGATCATCCACATGTTTCCACTCGGTTTCCTTGTTATCGTCCACGGTAAAATCCTCGAGACCAGGAATGTCCCGAATGTCAGGGACCAAGGTCTCCTCGTCGTCATCCCTTATCCTCCATTTTGCTCTCTGACGATGTTCCGTGACATTCTCTCGCGCGGCGATTTCGCTCACAGAATCAACTACCTCTTCTACGAGTTCCTCCTCCTGGAGCATGTACTCTCTCTTCTCGTTGGGATTCTGATAAACTCGATAGGGTCCTACGAGACCCACCACTCCTCGAGGCATCGAAATGGCCCGTTTCCAGTCGCCTTGCTCAAACTCTTCAGGACGATTCATTTCGGTAAACAATCGCCGAGGTTCCGGTAGCTGTTTCGAGGCTATCTGCAGCCACTTCCGCAACTCCTCCTGTCGCGAACAAGGTCGTCGATCCTCTTCGGGTCGTTCCTTGACGGGTTGAAGTTTCCTCTCGAGAAAACCCGTTTCAGGCAACTGAACCTTCTTCGGCTTCCTCACCACGCTGTACAGTGGGTCCTCATCTTCGACTTCGAGTGTTATCGACTCCACAGGCGTTACTTTGTTTCTTTGGTCAGTCCTCGAATCGTTTTCTCGCGGTTTATCGCTCTTCACCGCGCTGATCACCACCACGTTTCTTTTCACACCGTGGTTGAGTAAACTGGTGGATGGCACGGGCTCGTCGGTGTCGAGGACGCTGTAAATCGGCTCGCGAGTAGCCGTCTGGATCCACCTCGGACGGTTCTTCCGCTTCCCGGAGGATCGAAGCTTCGCAGGGTCAACCGTAGGTGTTTTTCGTTCTGCGTTTGCGACGGGAATGTCCGTCAGTTCGGCCACCATGGTCAGATGCGTCGATTACTGGGTGATTGGGTTCGCCGGATGTCACGATCAGATCGTGACGGACATGTCTGAAGAGTTCGGGCCCTAGGAGCTATTTGGGCGCGACACGAACGTGTCAGTATTTAAACGCACTCGCGATTCGTCTACAAATTTTCCTATCTTCCAAAATAAGATTCAAATCGTTGCAAGATCGTTCACCATATGTTAGAATGACTTCTAGATTCACAGACAATTCTGCGAGTAAAACTGATCGCGAAACGTATATCTGATTATCACTTTGCTTGTCAATTAAACCGATGTTTCCAAGTTTCGTGAACGGGTGCACCCGATCAACCACAAAAGGCAAATGTCGTTTCTTGGCTTCAGTTTTACCAGAAACAATTCTTCGTCGACGTGGAGGTGGCTGGAGGTCGATCGTATGGATCTGGCTCTCGTTCGTGACCAGGATGACGAAAAAGGTTTCACATCCTTCGTGGCAACGATAGCTTTTACCTTTTCCATCATCTGGGACACGATTTTCCGTCGGATCGTTGACGCAATGCCTCCTTAATCGTCCTGTTCATTATACCTTCAGAATTGCTTTCTGTTTCTTACAACAGAAGCTTCTTACATTTCTAACTATCTGTGATATAACGTGAAGACCACGTTCAATAATCATTTAATAATTTTTAACGATGAATGTAATAAACTGATATTTTAAAGGAAATTCCACTAGTGCTACAATTTGTAAAAATTTTATTAAGAATTCCAGTGAAATGTCAAAGAGAGTCATAATGAATTGAATGCGCTTTGTGCATTGTCTCCGTTGAATCGATCGATTTGTGGGACACCTTATGCAACCGGTAGTTCGCGATGATACGTGAGTTTCTACAAAGACTGACGTTTATCAATTTTTCTAGCGGTATATTATGTACGTCCAGCTATTTACGGGCCAGCAAACTCGCCTAAAGCTAAACGTGGAAGAATCTGCCGTTGTAACATCGGTGTAGCGAGCCAACAACGATTATCGAGCAGAATGCTTCGACCTCTAACACCTGTTGGAGACGCGTCTTTTTCACTCGAGGCTGTTTCTTGAGAATAAAGGGCTTCGAAGTTGCACTCGCAAGATTGCGGTCTTCTCACGCGAGAGAGAAGCACGCTTTACGATGCCCGTTCTCCAAAGTTAACGGTCCTTCGCTGTACGCAATTTTCCGATGACAACAGTTGGTCACCCACGGTGAAACAACTCCTGTATGCGTATGTCAAACGGTCTTCAAGATGCATCGATAATGAAACTGCGACTAATCTTGATGTTTGATTAGAGTTATAAAACATGTTGCGTAAAGTGGACAGAAAGCGTGAGACGAACGTTGTGAAACATTTGATGTTACAGTAAATATGAATTTAAAATGGTTACGAATTTAACTTGTGGTTTAGGAACATTTAGAGATGAAACGGTGGAGATTTGCAAGCATACTTGAAATTTGGAAATTTGAATATAAAGACCTTCTAACACGGTCTATGAAACGTTGGTCGTTTGTTCTATAATTAGATTCAAAAGCGGGCGCATGTAATTCAATTAAACACGTGTAACTAAGAGATCTAATCGCATGGTACTTACAACTATTGAAATCGCAGCGTGACGGCGAGCAAAGACTCGCTCTGTTAAAGCCGGTAACAGTTATTCTCGTTTTCTATTTGATAACAAAAGCTTTTTTAGCCCTGAGATTCGGGTCGAAGTTTCTCTCTTTCTCTTTCAAATTCTTTGGAAGGACAAGAAATCTTACACCTGTTGCTAATGATTTTAATCTTTGAAATACTTGTTCGAGAAGTTACCAGAATTTCTTGAAGTACATCATTCAACGAGAGTGAAATTGAAATATGGGACTAACCAGGAACATAACCGTCACGATCGTAATCGATACCGAGGATAGGTCAGCGATCGATGAATTATAAAGCTTGCGACGTGGCGAATTCTCGTGGGGTGAAGAACAAACTTGTTTTTCATTTTAATTAAGGAAACATCGAAGGAGAAACCTGTCACGAACGGGGACACTGTTGTACGAAGTTCGAGAGACGTTGCGAATGCAGCTGCTGGAAACTAGACACTGAAAGACTTTCAGAAACCTCTTCAGGACGTATACAACATTTACATCGATTGACATTAAACGTTGAACAGCATCGATGACAATTTTCCTCCATAACTTTCGACATTTACTTTCTCGATGTTCCTGTGATGAATTAATGATTCGGATTGTAAACTGGTGAAGCACACGTCTTTGAGATTTATGGAAAGATTCAATGTAAAATTTATGTGCTATTGTAGGTGTCTCCATTTTAACACAGAAATCGGTGGAACCATTTTGATATGCTTATACCATATTAAATGCTAGCTTACATATTATTAGATTATGTAACATTGATAAAAGTATTATATACATCAAAGAAATAATGAAATATATTTTTGTAATATGCAATGGTATATGAAAAAGTATATCACTAATATATTAGATGATTTATACTGTACAACGTAGCGTTTCTGGCATTGAAATCACCAGCACATCAGTGTTATTATAACCAAAGAACTTTGATACTACTGTATTGTATGTTAATAAATATACGAAAATTTTTAATAGAAAGATTAACCGTTATGTGAGTTTAATGTCGAAATAAACGAGAAATTGGATGTGTAGAACGATCAGCAACGATCGTTTCGGTTCATTTGTTCAATGGAGGCGATCAATCGCGCACGAGTAAGCAGAAATTCTGAAAACAAGAGTTTCGAGAGAAGAGCGGTGAGCAAACGGCGTATAATGGACAGAATTCGCTCTAGTCCGATCATTTTCACTTCCGTGGAAAAGAAAAGGGAAAGTACCGAGTCGTTTCAGAACAAGAAACCGTGCTCTGCCGAACGTGTGCAACATGCGAAAAGAAATTCACATGATCCGTTGAATTACACTACTTACCAAGACAATGTTTATTCAGAGAAAATATGACAGATAGCAAATTGCGCGTTTGCAGAAATTCTCATGAAATCAATTGCCATTTCACACGGCAACGAATCATGTAATACACTTTGTACAATGTACGGAAATTGAGAAACGATATTAGTATTTCACGATCAAGCTTCATTTTCTTTCTTCATAATATTTTGCAGATTCGCATAAAATATACAAGAATTTGTTAATTTTGGACTTCAGAATTTTTTAGACATTAGATACTTATAATTTTGTTAAATAGTTGAATATTACGGGGTTTTGAAACTTTTTAATTTTTGAACTTTCTTGCTTCGGAATTTTTTACCGTCCATGCGAAAAGTTATCGTTTTCGAAAGTGGATCTCGGTCCACAAAAATTTTTACAGCCCCGATCCACGCTGTACAAGTTTAAGTCTTTACTGTCTCTCAGAGTTACCATTATTAAATAAAGCAAATGCCTATAATAATTTCATCAAATCCAGAGATTTTTGTACTCACTTGATTTTTCAGAATTACATTCCTGAATAGGCTGAAGATTTCGTGGCATCGTTAAACTCGTTGCTTTCCTCAAATTACAACAAGTTCACTAATCACTACCGAAAACATACGAATTCACCGACGTCAAGTTTATACTTCAACAAATACTGTCAGGGTACCTTAATCTCTGACATTCTGACGAGAAAACGTTCCATTTTCCATTTAAACTCTTTATAATTTCGAATATCGAAGATTCATTTTTCGCGACGGATTAAAAAAGAAACGTCAAATCGAAGCACATCGCTCGGCGCACGTGCACTATTCCGTATAGTCTTCAACAGAAATCACGTGCAAACTGATTCACGGTGAAACGACCTCCAAGAACGAAACCTCCAATTCTCGGAGCAATACAGAAAGATTGATCTTCGGATAAATGGCGGCACTCGTGGACTCTTCGTGGCCACGAGTGTCGGCTATACTGGACTGCGATGCCAACGATGAACCGAGTTAACTCCCAGAACTTAAGTTCTGGGTAGGAAAACCATATACATGCTTAGTTTCAATCTTCCTCGATACATTCTCTCCTCAACATCAGAAAGAAAGAAAGAGAGAGTGCACGTATACATGCAAACGACGCGCTCGTGTATGTGAGCTACGTCCCGCAGAACTCTCCTCTGGATTTCGTCCTCCTTTTTCTTGGAGGCAAGATAAAGAACAAGAGACTAGAAGTGCAAGAGAGAAAGTTGTATAAAGGATTAGGACAAAATTACTCCATACATCTAAAAAGTTATTAAGAATCTTTGGATGTCCCGAACAATTGAACCTTCACCATTTCAAGGTTTACAATATTTATTAACAATACTGAAGTTTGGGAATTTCAAAATTTGGGATTTGTGAATTGTCCGAGATCTCCATTATAACAAAGAAGGGTGATACTGTAGTAAAATAAGCCAGATTTTATGCCGGCAATTACTATACAAAAATTCAATGACACAACCAAAATAATAGACATAGAGATAAAACCACAGATATTGCTTGTTTATAAAATCTTACACTTCTTTTATTGACAAATCGCTTGAGATATCGCTTAAATAATATTTGTTGCATCAGTGGTCCAGAAAAACTGTAAATAGATACATTTCAGAAAGCTTAATTGTTAGCATTGCAATAATTCTAAAATAGATTGACAATAAGTGATTTATAAGGCCAATGCTACTTCACATAACTTTCATAATAGTTTTGTTGTTTAATATTAAATTTCACTTTATTTGCTAAATCAACATACTTTCATGGTATTTAAGAAAGTAATCGTTACTCACTATGTAACATACAGATGTAAAAAGTATCTGTATCCTTGAAACATTGATCATACAAGAAAATGGGCATAAATTAAATTTATTGAACGTGTTGTAAACTTAAATATTTATATCAAAGACCAACGTTTTTATTAAGATCAGTCTTATTTATCCCCGATCTTGTAATGTTCAATGTTAATTGTTAAATCAAACATTTCACCAGAAATGAACACCTAACACTGTAATCTTCTCTAAAAATAAAGTCCAAAAGGCATTTTTCAGAAATAATCCGATAATGCTTCACTGTCACTTTTTTTTAGAGCCAAAACCTGAGAAACCCATTATTGCTGCCATTTCATCAGAAGGCCCACCATTGTCTTCATTAACTTCTTCAATTTTTCTTTTTTTGTCTTTTCTCTTCTCTTTTCTATATTCTTTAATTTTTTCTTCCTATAAATAATACAAAATTATGTTAATATATTGAATGATAAATAGTATACATTTATAGAAAAAATTTGTGTAGAAAACAAACACAAACCTCTTCCTTTAATTCTTTTACTCTTTGTTCTAAATCATAATCTTTCTTTTTTTCTTCCAGCTTCTTTTTATTCATTGCAAAACGTGCTTTAACTTGTTCCAGTGTGGATCTCTCAATTTTCATTGACATACCCAAATTACGTTGATCTAGAAATAATATAACAATTTAATGTCATTACTATATTATTTATATGAGATAACTAAGAAAGTTTGTGCCATTTCTAAGATTGATTACGTTTTGTTCCATTGATGTGGTCTAAGAAATTAATTGAATCTTTCACAACACAGTCACAGACATTACAATAGTACCTGCAATCAGAATATATTATTATAATCTTCTTATTAAAATTATTTTATTTGCAAAGTTTTATTCTTACCCTCCAGTTTGGGAAGATGGTGTATTTTTATTTATTACAACACTTTTCCCTAGTTTGGATTCAAGGTCAACTTTGTAGTCTCGTTGTTTGAGCAATTCTCTTTTTACAGCTGGTTGTTTTGGAATACCCAACTCTTCTTCAGCAATTTCATCCTGGAGACGCTGAAGTGCTATTCTTTCGTACTCCTCCCTGTTCCATTTTCTTCTATGATCATCTGGACGCTAAAGTTAAAATTAAAATTACTTTAGAAGTTTTGTCTTTATGAGAAATCTTTAGTTAATTATGAAGAAATATAGATTATTGTTTATTGTTGATTATTGAAAACCTGCTTCATCGTGTATTAATGTATCATATCATCATTATTATTAAAATATGTATATTTATATTACTCTAATAAAATACTAAGGTTAGGAAATATGTCAAATAATATTTTTAGCACCTATTTAATTAGTGTAATAACAAAAATAAATGTAAATATAAATTATTTAAATTCTTACCATAGACATTGTTAAAGTTTTTATTTTTAAACCACTTTGATAAGCATAAAAAAATAATCTGCCCTGTTTTCTTCGTCGACTCTAAAAGAGATGCTGGTACTGAATATTTTAGATGTTCATAAATTTATATACATAGATATTTTAATAAATGTATACTGTATTTTACAACATAAAATTACAAATAGCAAATAGAAATCGTTTTATTATTTTTTAATGAATAACAACACGTATAATTATTAATGTCCACCGTGTATATGACTGACGAAATGGAAAACACAATAACACGATGGTAGTAAGTGGAGAGTAGACTGAAGTTAGTGAAGATGCGCGAATTGAGTATAGTTTCTTGGAAGTGCATTTCATGTTATTAAAAGTTTATTTACAAACATGAAATGTGACATTGACATAGCCATTATAATGCTATATATTGCATTAGCACTTATATAATACCGTAATAATCATTTATAAGATAATTACAATAAAACATTGGTACATAAATATACGAAAATTTGTAGATAACCTTAAAAATATGACTTTTTTAAAATAATTTTATTTTCAAGCATACATTTGTACATTTTTTTTGTATACCAATAATGTTATATATGTAACATTTTTTTCCACCAATTAAACAGTGATAGTAAACAGTTTATATGAAAATAAATCATACATAACAATATAATTTTTTTAAGACTGGAATTAATTGATTGATCCATATTTTTCTTATATTAAAATTAAACTTATTTAATACTAAATCAAAATAATTTCTGAAATAAAATTATAAGTATCATCAAATTCCATAGCACCATGTTACATGTATCATTTACTGATATACAAATTTTATAAGACAGATACACAACATTATTTATGTTACAAAAACCATAATTGTTTATAGATTTCACAAAATTAAATATCTATATAACATGTGTCAAATAAACTAAAAATTTCTCTATAACATCGACATAGAATCACCTACAACCACATATAAACATAGATACAGAATGTTACATTTCTATTATCACAACAAGTATTTTTTGTTTAATAGAACTCTGAGTATAAAGTACTCATAGAATTTCACATAAAACAATTAAGTACCAGACAATAACAAACAATATATAAATATTAAAATATTTACGTTATTGTATTAAATCTGGTGGTACATTTGGTGGTAATATAACTCCAAGTCTTGTTACCATAAAAGATGCTACTTTACAACCATATTCCAAACAATCTTTTGGATCCCAGTTAGCTAATACACCAGCTAAAAAACCAGCTACCAAAGAATCACCAGCACCTGTAGTATCTACAACAGGAACTTTTGGCTTAACTGGTTCCACCTAAATAAAATACAGTATAATCCTCAGTTAACCCTTTCATTTACTGTTGACCTGTATAATATGATGAAACAAATGAACATACTTGAACCGAATAACCCGTCCCCCAAACAGCAATCGCTGGTGCAGAGTCACCTTGGGTCATAACAAATACTCCACCATGAGACCACCAGTTTTTATAAATACTGTAAGCATTAACTGCAATTTTTTTGAGACTATTCAATAAAAATGGTATATCAGCTACATCGTCATAAGCAATGTTTAATGCTTGGGCTAAAGCTTCCATTTCTCTTGAATTTCCAAATACAATGTTTGCATGTCCAACCATTTCACAAATTGCTACCTGATGATCCTATAAAAATTAACATAGTAACATTAACATTATTTTCATACAACTGTACTAGTATATTAATTTAAATTAAAAAAATATTTATGTACTTTGAATATATATCTTCCATTTAAGTTAAAAGCAACAATTATATTTCTTTGTTGTGCTTGTGTAACAAGTTCTTTTGCTACAGGAAAACTGTGAGTTATGAAAAATCCTTCAATATAAATTATTTTTATTGTATCCAATGACAAATTGCATCTCTTGAGATCATCAACATTATATACACCAGCAGCACCTATATTTGCAACAAGACTACGAGATGATTCGTTTATCAATGCTATACATTGTCCTGTAGGTAGAGATGAATGAACTGCATATCTAAAAGAAAGATATATTTACAAAGATCTATGATACAGAAAATAAAAAAAGACTTAAAACACTGCAAACCTTGCATCCACACCTGCTGATCTAACTAAATTTTTCAATGTTGTTCCCTTTGAATCATTTCCAAGACCTCCACAATAAATACAATATCGATGTTTAAAAGTTTCATCGCAAAGCCATTCTAAAATTCGCATTGAGTTTTGTGCTGACCCTCCTGCACTAATTGTCGGTTCCGATCTATTTCATATATCATTAATGACATTAAAATTTTATAATAATAAAATAAAAAATTAAGTTAATTAAAAATATCTGTAAATAAAGATCAGTATAATGACATTTACATTGTACACTTTTTACACAAAATATATAACTTTTGTTTTGCACTTGCTTTAAAATAACAAAATGAAAAAATATACGTTTATATGTTTATATAAATCATGTACAATATAAATGTTTCATAACCATTAACAAATATACTTATTAACTCTAGCTGTAAGTCTGCCAATAATTCCTGCATTTTTTCAGTAGTAAGTTCTGTTTCTCCATCTATTGTAAGATTATGTTTTTTCAGCAAATCCTTATTTTTTAAAAATACAAAAGCATCCAGTAAAGGATTGCCAAATGCTACAACTGCAGGAACATTCAAATTTGCAATAGCTTCTCTCAATGGAACTTTTACTATAAACTTTGAACGTCGATTATTACATGCTGTAAAGAAATTACATTAGTTTTAAAAAGATTATATTCACATCATTTACAATAATGAAGATTTAATATATACTGCAGTCTACCTTCCAACATTATGAAAAAAGAAAACAATAGAATTATAACAATTCAATATTACACATGATTAAATCATTCATCGTTTAAAAACGCTGCAAATAAATATTAATAAATATTAATGTCTTCAGTATTTACATTTTAGTGCTATGAATTTTATATAGTATGGAACTGTTTGAAGTTATCTACGATGCGTGAAACGAATGTTCTCATGGTAAATGGAGTATATAATTTTCATGGTCTTTAGCTAACTTCTCACTGTACGGTCATATGATCGACACGAAAAAGGGCGAGTCCGATTTTAACTTTGACGGATCTGTGTTGGGAGTAGCGTAGTAATAAAACTGTAGTAAACGATCTTTTAAAATGAAGGGTTGTATGTTCAATATTGACGGTGGATATTTAGAAGGACTTTGTCGTGGATTTAAATGTGGAATTCTTCAACAAAGTGACTACCTTAATCTTGTACAATGTGAAACTCTTGAAGGTATATTTTCAATTATTTTTGTGTAGTATGCTCAATATTTAAATTACTATATACATCAGTTTATATTTGTATTCTTTTATATCTGTATAGATTTAAAACTACATTTGGCTGGTACAGATTATGGAAGTTTCTTGGCTAATGAACCATCGCCACTAGCTGTTAGTGTGATTGATGATAAATTAAGAGAAAAACTTGTTGTGGAATTTCAACATATGCGTAACCATTCTGTTGAGCCTTTGTCACAATTTTTAGATTTTATCACTTATAGTTATATGATTGATAATATTATCTTATTGATTACTGGAACTTTGCATCAAAGGCCAATTTCAGAATTAATACCAAAATGTCATCCTCTTGGCAGTTTTGAACAAATGGAAGCCATTCATGTAGCAGCTACGCCTGCTGAACTTTATAATGCTGTCTTAGTAGACACTCCCTTAGGTATAAGAAAAACATACTTCAAATTGTGTTACTTTTCTCACAAAAATATAATATATAGTTTATCATGTTAAAATTTATATTATGTTTCTATCATACTAAGTGTTTAAAAAACATTTATCATAGCACCATTCTTCGTGGATTGTATTTCCGAACAAGATTTGGATGAGATGAACATTGAAATAATCAGAAATACATTATATAAAGCTTATTTGGAAGCATTCTACAAATTCTGCAAAGAAATTGGTGGAACAACTGCAGATACCATGTGTGAAATACTTGCGGTATAAAATTAACAACATACATTATGTATATAACATAATGTGTAAAGTAACATTTTAAAGATAAATTAACTTTGCAGTTTGAAGCAGATAGACGAGCAATTATCATAACTATAAACTCGTTTGGAACTGAACTAGGTAAAGATGATAGAGCAAAATTATATCCACGTTGTGGAAAATTAAATCCTGATGGGTTAGCAGCATTGGCAAGAGCTGATGATTACGAACAGGTCAAAGCTGTAGCAGAATATTATGCTGTATGTATATGATTTCTTATTTTTATAAGTAAATTTTTTTTAATCTGTCTCTACATACACGTTTATATTACTTTTTCAGGAATACAGTGCCTTGTTTGAAGGTGCAGGTAATAATCCTGGTGACAAAACTTTAGAAGATAAATTCTTTGAGCATGAGGTAAATTTAATAGTATTATAAAAATTAACATGATATAATTTTTGTAAATGTTACTGATTTTAATATTTTCATCACAGGTTCGCTTAAACGTTCATGCTTTCCTTCAACAGTTTCATTTTGGAGTATTCTATAGTTATCTTAAATTAAAAGAACAAGAATGTCGTAATATCGTATGGATAGCGGAATGTGTTGCGCAAAAGCATCGTGCTAAAATAGATAATTACATTCCAATTTTTTAAAATGTTTCTGAAGGTTCTATCAATTATTTATGTTCAACTACAAATATCACACAAAAATATTTTTCCTCTTTATTTTTATTCTTCAACTATGAGTAGCTAATGATTCTACAGTATTCTATAAATGAAGAAGAGGAAGCTGTCAAATAGAAACAAATAATTATATTTAGTTGATAATTAAAATAAAAGGCCAATTATGTGTTTAGCTAAATTGAAGAAATAATATCGAAAATTACTATTTAGTATTACTGTCATACATAACAAAAATTGATATCATATAGATGTAAATAGTGTATTTTATTGTAGATCGGTCTATATTATGTTTGATGTTATCTGATGTTGTAATTATCGATTCTATTGTAATATAAAATAATATATAATGCATTCCATAAGTTTGAAACTTCAACTAAAATGAGTAAGTTACACTGATGAATTTTTTTTATTTCCCTATATTCTTACCCAGAGATCAAACTTTGCACTTTCAAAAATTTTCGTTACCATCAATTATTCCAATAAAGTAAACGGAATGAATTTGACGACCACCTAAATAAAAAAGATATGTATCTTTATACAAAATTTTAAATATTTCAGTTTATAAAATACTTACATTTTTGCATGTTCTCAGATAACAAAATATTAATATTCAAATTAATAAATGGTATAATAGTATTAAAATTAATAAATCATATAATACTATTGAAGTTTACCAATTACTATTAAATATACAAACGCACGCATGTAACTTATAAAGCTTGATACTTCAAATCAATTTAACACAATTCATACTTTTACCTACAAAGATATGTTTTTTGTAGTATATGAAATGTGTTTACAGTCTGTACCATTCATATTTGTGAACAAAATTTCTTATAAAAATCTTAATATATTTACTCTACAGCAGCCTTTCATTTCATAAATAATTTAATATCATTCAATACAATTTCTTGCTATCAAAAAAACGTCATACTGAAATTGGATAAGTTTGAAAATATGAAATCCTAACGAAAAATATTTGTTAATCATATGTGTATTTCTTTAAAATACTTTCATAATATGTATACATGAATATATACATATACAAGAAAGTATACAAACATACACAAATATGCAATTTATTATATAAAAATATAATTCCTAAAAAAATAATACGATACAGACTATTTTTATGTGAAAAACTTACAAAAAGCCAGAAATATTATAATATTTCTGAAATTCGTAATTTTTTCATTAATAATTAACATACTACAGTACTACCACTTTAAATAAAATAACATTAGAGTACTCTTAAAATTATTGGAAATAAACTTTCGTTATTTTCCGTTAGGATATTTTTCAAATTTATTGTAAAAAAAGAAAAAAATAAATCACTGCTTATCTTCTACAAATTCGTTCACTTTCACACTGCATTTTTTCTCCTTCTGATTCCCGACTCATTGTAGGATGCACTTCTTTGTTCATAGAATTCACATTAGGAACAGATGATGGTGGAGTATTATTAATATGTTTTATATTCGCTGTTGGTGATGGTGGCTTAGTTGCTCTCATTGGATTTGTAGCATTATTAACTAAATTTGGAGGTTGATAAGTTGCTAAACTTTTTAATCCAATTACTTCTGGATTTTCTTTCCAAAAACGATCTGCGATAATATCATCTACTAAGGGAACTACTGCTGGCTTTAATCTACCTGTTCCATCAGGTACTAATTTCCTTATAAGCGTAGTACCCTTTCGGAAAAGGGGAGGTTCTTTATTATAATTTATACCAAATTCTTGAAATAGTAATTCATTCTTATGTGATGCTAATGTACCCCTAAGTTTTTCTTCTGCCTAAAAATTAAATTAATATTTTTATTAAGTATGTGTGCACTTATGTTCACATAACATTTTCTTTATACTTATAATGAATTTAAGACATCCTATGCATATAAAGAAATTAAATAGCTTAAAATTACCTGACTTGGAGTCAGCTTCCCTTTTAATACAAGATTCCAAAAACAAGTATTATATAAATTATTCACATGAACATCTGTTTGTCGCCATGCTAAGTAATCTCTTAAATTTTTATCTGTTGGGTATAATACAACACGAGCATCAAAGGATGGTGGATAATATAATTCTTTGCCTTGAAAGAATCGAGGCCAGTGATAAACATATGACGATGCAAAAAGTGAATTTACATTTGACATTAATTTTGAGGCTGAAATATAATAGAAACAATATTGTAAATATTATATTAACATTAATAAAAACAATGAAACGTAAATATATTATGATGCAATAATTAGTACATTTTTCTTTTGTATTACTCATCTATCACTTAAAACTTATTTTCATAATATACATACCCCTTCTTTTATGAAGCTGAGTATCTTTACGAAAGACAAACGAATATTCATCGCTTTGACCAAAACCTAAAATAATTTCTTTGAAATCTTCCATAACCGTAATAGCCGCGCGATTCATTAATTGCAAAGCAGCTACATCATTCGGCTTAGTGAATTGATGTGCATCACAGAATTTCGAAAAATTTCTTCCGTCAATTCTAACCACAATCCAACAATTTGGCAAACAACAGTCGTCACGTTCGAATTCTTTTACATATTCGAATTTACTTTTAGCCATTCTCGTCAAACTTATGTGCCGGCTATTGACCACTTGTTTGACCAAGCTAATGATTTTCAGGAAGTTGCTTCCTGTTGTCAGAAAATACATTTCCTGAAACTGCTGAATGTTGAAGTCTCCACTGTCGAACTTGTTTTTAGTTTCGAATGTGCCCAACCTTTTATTCTCGAAATAATTTCATTCGAAAAATATTATTAATTTTTTGTTATGAAATAAATTGATTTCGGATATGTATATTTATATATATTTTGGAAACCCACGTGCGCGTTTATTGGTTAAGTATATTCGTCTCGCTACTGTATAGAAAAATATGTAATCAACAAGTTAAGTGTAACACTTATATAAGATTTGTATACATTACAAATATTTAAATTTCCAAGTAAAACATTTTTATGAACATTAAATATTGCTTTAAGCATATATGCATGTTTATATGTAAACAAATAATTATATACAAAAGTGAATAGATTTATAAAAAGATTTGACAGAATGGATTTACATGAACGTTACATGCGTACATCAACAATGGATTTTTCAGTTTTTGGATTATTAGAAATTTCATTTAAAGATGACCCATTTTTAGTATTACATCGTTTAGTCAAACATTATAATAATGAGATCATAAAAGGCAATGTGGATACCAAAAAATTGGAAACACTTCGAATGGTGTTATGTTATGAATATCAACTTATATTTAATTCTAAGGAGAGACATACTAGACCAACTCTAAATGATTTATGTTTAAAAAATATACAAAACATTTTATTTTTAGAAAAACATTCTCAACAATTTGCTGTACATCCAATATTATACGATATCATAATTTTGCAGTTAATACTTTACTGTAATTTACAATGTACCGAAGAACATTTGACGAGTTTTCAAAAGTCAAATGTTGATATTTTAACAAATAATGAAAGTAAATTTTTTTATATAAAAGTTTTGGAATGTTTTCTGGAATCATTGCAATTAAGACAGTTTTTATATGATAATCTGGAAATGAATGTATTAAAACATTTCAATTCATTGTACTTAAAAGATATAACATTATGGCTAGAAATTAAGGAAAACAAAGAATGGCAATTATTTGCTTCAATTCTTCCAAAGTTAATAAGCACTTATGGTTCTGAGAATGTTTTACCAATTATATGGAATTTTGTTTTAAATAAATTGGATGATTTTAAGGATTTGCTTAGTGCATTGAGTATTATAATTAATATATGTTTTTCACTTAATCTGAGGAATGATATCATTCATACACATTGGGAATTATGTTGTATGGAGCAATTATGGTTATTAATTATAAAGAGCTTAAAGTCACCTGTACAACAGTTTCGAAAACAAGGATTATTTATAATGAAACATGTAACTGATTTCATGAGTATTACTGATGAAAGTATATTACACTTAAAGAAACCTGCAATTGTTCCTTTTGTATGCAGTCAGAAAATTAAAACAGAAATATTAATAAAAGATATCAAACAAAACTTCTTTCTGATATTAAATGCACTAGAGGAAAAGCAACATCATTTAATATTACCTGCTTTAACACATTTATCAACCTTAATAAAAGGTAATGAAGAACATACTTTGTGTAATGATTGTTTTAATATTGTTTGGTTGCAATTGATTTTTGAAAGAATATTGCAACATGAAAATAACAACATAGTAAAACAGGGAGTATTGTACATTTGCAAGTTATGTACTTCTATAAATGATGCTGAGTTCTTGAAATTATTTGTACATGTTTTAAACAATACATTTCTATATGAATGTCAGTCTTATAAAAAAGAACCAGAAATATTAGATAGTATTATAGTATTGTTTACACATGCAGCAAAGAAAGAAACTGAGTTCATTAAAAATCTATTGGAAATGATGAACAAAGAAACATGGGCTCCTATACCAATATTCTATGTAATAAAAATTTTGAGAACAGTTCTAAGTAATATCAGTAAAATGAATCAGTGGGAAGATGATGAATTAATTTTAATTAAATCTTTGATACAAAAAAATTTAAACATGCATTCTCACATAATAAGAACTGCATCTCAAATTGAACTTATACAAACAATTTGTCTTCCTATAGAAAAAATAAATAATGTGAAAATGGTATTAGAAACATTATTAGAATTTTCTCTGGATGAAACACTTATAAGAGATTCATTTTCATGGAAAAATGTAGTAAGCTGGTTAAAAAAAGTTCTTGTAAAAATAAATGCAATAGATTTTATAAAATGTATTTGTGAAGAATTTTCAAAACAAGATATAGTTTTGAATCTAAGTCCTGCAAAGTTTGCTGTTATAGTTGCCATGTTTTATGATGCAGGTTTCATATTACAACATAAAACATGTGTTGTGATAGGAATACTGAACAACTGGTTGTCAATACTTAATGGGATAAATACTAGACCCTATGCAAATCATACATATATATTTTATATAATAGACTTTATGTCGCATTTGTTAAATTTAAACACAATAAAAACCAGTGAAACTGTTACACAACTTTTGACTTTACATTTTAATAATGCATTACAATTTTTACTTCAAAATAGTAAAAGTATGCCATATAAATTAAAATATGATGAAAACAATAAATGTCTTGCTATAATTGCTTCATTTCTTAACAATGGAAATTTAATTTTATCAGAAAAAGAAATTTTAAATTATGCAGAGAAATTTAAGAATGAGAGTATAGTTATTCTTCAAAATATAAAACAATATACAAGCATGCATTATATGTATGCATTACAGATTTTGTATTATACTCAAGAGATTTTATGCAAAAATCAGATATCAATTTACATGGAACCTATATTAAATATTTTTGATATTTGCATCTCTGATGGTGATCAAGATCAAGTAAATATTAAAGGAAAAGTAATATCAGATTGTTACTTGTTACTTGCAAGACTTATGCATCAATTTTTAACAAAGGTAGAAGTACAGTTATGGTCTCAAAAAATTGATTGGTTCAGAAGTACTTCATATCTTTATGAAGTAGGAGGAAATGAAATCATTCCAGAAATAGCATTAATTTTAAAAACAATTATTAATAAAGGGGCTATAAAAGATAAAGAAGATAAATTAAATTTAGAATCTATTTTTACTACATGTTGGAAAACTACATTATTAAGTAGCAAGAATAAATTGTACTTTATAGCAATAAACAATCTTCTTGGAGTTATTATAAATAATAATTTTTTGGAATTACCTGATGCTACACATTTCGTAAATAATGTAAGAAATAAATTTTAATCCATCATAAAAATAGATGTTCTTAACGTACTAATCATTCAATGCATTTTTAGTTTCTTGATCAATTACTTGAAGAAAGTAATAATGTGCCAAAATTGAAACAAATGTTATTAAATGAAATGAAGTCATTAAAGATATTTTATTTAAAAAATTTACAAGAATCATTATTATCATGTTGTCTTCATGGACAGGTACTAGGAAAAAATAAGCAAATAGAAAATCAAGCATACCTGTATGTTATACAAAATTATAGCACTTGCTATCCACAACACATATCAGTAATGTGAGTATTCTTGTATAATATCAATATACCTAACACAGATATTAATTCACCAATTTTCCTATTAGAGATTATAATAATGACACTAATGTCAGAGCACTTTCAATTATATTATTATACAAGATAATCAGTGCAAATACAGAGTATGCATCCACATTTCTTCCAGTTGTTTTGCAAAAATTAGAAAAATATAGAAACAAACGTTATTTCAATCATTCTTACATACATAAGATAAAGCACAGAATAATGCAAATTTTATTAATATTGCAACCAGTCCTAAATAAGGTAAAAAAATATTGTGTAACTAATTAAAAATATTATTAAGATTGGATAAGATATATTTATAAATTTTTTATAGTTAGACACTATTACATTAGAAGAATATCTCTGCAGTTCATTGCTGTTAGAAAGCAATCAGCATAGTGTTAAACTAATGCAAGAGTGGTTATTAATAAAAATTTTTGCAGAAAATATAGAAATTCATCAAAAACTCTGGAAACTTTTTGAAGAGGTAGATAGATAAATATTATTTTGCTTCATTTAAATTTGTTTGGACATTAAATATGTCAAATTTATGTAACAAAATAATTGCACAGGGTATTACAACACGCCCAGGATGTGTTAGTTCTATATCATGTATTTTTTATCATGTTTCAAACCTTCTTCCTACTGATTATCAACGTAATTTTATTTTAACGGGAATAAGGTATATTGCACATTGTTGTTTAGGGCAACAATATAGCATGCGTCTTTATAATCAGGTAATTTGAGTAACCATGTATAATAGTTTATTATCATACTGTATATACATGTATTTTATGTTTAATATAGACCATTTTTGTAAAATTGTATGAAATGTTAGAGCAATTTGATTGTAATGATATTACATCACAATATAAAGGGTTATATGATGCTACAATAACAAGTTTAAAAGGTGGAAATTTAATGAAAAACTCAAACAGAATTCAAGATGATTTTTATCTTTCAATTTTTCATGCTATCCATGACTTTAGCCTACAGGTAATATAAAAAGTGTTACATGAAGCTATTAAAACATAAACACAATTTTTAAATAATAATTTATTGGTATTTATAGACAATTTATTTTGAACTCCCTCGGTTGACTGACATGGATTCAACTGAATGGATTACTCCGGATTTATTTCAAAATCTACATTTTAAAGAAACTATTAATCATCCTCTTCGACTTTATAATCTGAATACATTATTATCAGATACTAAAACATCATCTTACTTGATTAAGTCTTCAGGTACCCTACAAGCTACATTAATAGTAACAATAGCTATATTGCCAAGATATTAAATAATATCAAATTTTTAAACACAGCTGATAAAGAATTATCTGCACAAAATTCTATAATGGATACTGAACAACTAAATAACATCCAGAAAAAAATAGATCCTTTAATGTCTACAAATTTATCACATGACATTTTTCCAACTATTAGAGAATCTGTTTCCCATAAAAGATCGTTATTGGATGATGAAGGTCTTATAGTTGTAGCCTGTCTTGTTAACCGTGCTCCAAATTTAGGAGGACTTGCTCGTACTTGTGAAATTTTCAGTGTTAAAGAATTAGTTATTGCTAATTTAAATCAAATTACAGATAAGGAGTTCCAGAATCTTAGTGTATCAGCTGAAAACTGGATAACTATTACAGAGGTATTTTATACAGAGTAACTTATTACAAAATATGAAATGTGTGTCATAATAAAACTATAAATGTTGTAGGTAAAACCACATCAATTGTGTAAGTTCTTATTGGATAGAAAAAAAATGGGGTGGTCATTAGTTGGTTTAGAACAAACAGTTAACAGTACAAATTTATTAAACATGAAATTCAAGAAGAAAACAATCCTTGTATTAGGGTAAGTAATAAAAAAGAAAGTCAAATGAATTTTTCAGTAAGAATAATACTTTTCCAGAAATGAAAAGGATGGAATTCCTGCTAATTTGATACCTTTATTTGACACCTGTATAGAAATACCCCAAGCTGGTATAATTCGCTCATTAAATGTTCATGTTAGTGGAGCAATATGTATATGGCAATATTCAAAACAACATGTGTTAATATAATTCAGTTTTTATATTCATATAATTCTAGTGTTATAATGAATAGTGCTAATTGATATTTTATATACAATGGTTTTATTTTAATTATGAAAAATAAAATAAACAATGGTGTAATTAAATGGTAATATTCATTTGTAAAGTTTATTTTTCCAGATGTATATGTATATTTATTTATTAGAATGACTATTACTTATACACAGATTCTGCCTATATTAATATTGATGTTTTTTTAAACTTTGTAACCTATGATGTGGCGCTTGCCAATACATTCTCCAATAAAGAACCAACATAATACCTCGAGTGTAACCAAAGTATTTAGCCAAACTTCACGTACTGGAAGCTCAAGAAACCGTTTATTTTTTGCTGCAGATACAAGCCTTTGAATATCATGTCGAATGGCAGGAATGTCAGATATCTTTGGTGGAACCAATTCTACTTTTGCATAATATACGAATTTTTTAAGGGCAGGTCTTGCTGTAGTTATAGCAGCTGTAATACACATAAAATTATAATTAATAGTCAATATAGGTTATGTAAATTTGTAGCATAAAGTACTTGGTTAAGTAAAATTAATTATGCCTTTCTTAACCTTCAAATTATATTAAAGAAAACATTTCTTATAAATTACACATAATGCTATTTATCTAAAATCAATAGTATGAGCAAATAAGTTATGATTTTAATTTAATAAATAAAACATATAATAAATTTTCATTCGTGCAATAACACTACTGATGTTATATAACCATCAATTTATAGCAAAATTACAATCAATATAAAATTTAAATTACGAGAATAATGATTAGCTTAAAATATTGAATACGTACTTTTAGTCACATCAACTAAACCCTGGAGTTTTGACATTTTTGATCGTTACAATCTTCTGTAAGGTACAAAAGAAAATGCACCTTCCAATACACCCCTACAATCTGCAACCCTCCTTTATAATGAACGATTCACCCATCTGATGGCATTTTACCGAACTACGATTCGCGAGTTTAAATTCGATACGCTGTCGAAATTATGTAACAAATTTGTTTCACTCACATTACATTTAATAATAAATACGAATCAATTTTTAAGGTTTTATTTGCTTTCTGTATAATGTGTAAAAAAGGTTAAACATATATGATTCACAAACAGCAAGTTTATTAAACATTTTGTAGGTATACAAAACGCTTGTATAGTACAATTTTTATGAAAAAGCGGAATATGCACATAAAGAATTTAACAAAAGTATTGAACATTGAAAAAATGATGTTTTGGAAACTGAATTTTTAATTTCATAATTTATTTTATTCATATCTATTACTCCCAACTTTTAACACGTAATTCAGGATCTAGTATGCTCCAATTTGGTGAATGTTTTTCATTAGATAACCAATTAAAGTCGTCGATACAATTCCAATTATTTATTTTTGGATCCAGACCTGCTAAGTTGAAGTGATTTGCTTGATCTTCATAAGACCAATTGTAAGGTGCAAAGCGTATGTTTGTACAATCTTCTATGATTGATCTACTTGTAACATGTAAATAAATAGTACAATCTGTTGAAGAATGTAATCGAAGTTGTTGACATGCAAAAGCAAATACACATTCATTGCAGTCATGGGCAAATACAGATGAGGTTACTGGTCCAACTAACACGGTACACTGTTTTAAGTTTACCATGTGCAAAGTACTAGGTGTACCATAAATTCGTACTGTACATCGAGTTAAATCAGAAAGCAGAACATCATTCTTATTCACATTTTCAGCATCTAAAATTAATTGTTCATCGACTTTTCCCAGTAGCATACAGGCACTATCTCCATATTTGCTTGACAACTTGTGATTTTGTTTGGCAGACCCATTTACAATTCCTTCTGATATTTTCAAATCTTTTAAACCATCCGTCACATCATGTGCTTTTTCTGAGGTTTTCTTCACAACTCTTCGGTTTTTAAAACCAAATTTCTTCTTAGGTAATAATTTCAATTCTAGATCAGAAGCTTCATTTTCTAGTACTTGTAAATTTTCTTGTGCTCTTCTAATGTCATAAACTTTTAAAAACATTTTTGATTGTGACAAGTAATTTTTTAACATTAAAATTTCCTTATTTATTTTGTCAAAGATTCCAGGAAGAGCTGATGTAGGTGCACTAGGTGCATCATCTAGCATTTCCTTAATCTTTTTGCATGATGAGTAAAAAGTGTCCTTAAAATAACTGCTTTGTTCAGATTCAACAGCTAACGATTGCCGTTCCTCTCTTCGTCTTTCAATGATATTTTTTCTTTCGCGATCCCTTTTAGTAATACGGTCTGGTAAACTACCTTCTATTAAAGTAGGTGATTCCATATTGCTATATGAATATTATTTTCTGCGAAGGATTATGTACTGTATATCATTCAGCTTTAAATATTTATGATTTGTTGATAACATAAATTTATTTTAAAAAATATTTTGTTTTGATATATCTAAGAATTTTGCACTTGCTGACTTTTTAGGCAACAACTAGAAAGCATAAAAAATATAAACTATTATCTTGTACTAATATAATGATAGTTTTTATACATATAAATTTAATAAATAATAAGACAATATAATAAATGTTAACAATATAATAATGCAAGCACAAATTATTAAATATTAAAAACAATATATTAAGTTTACATTGTAGTTTAAAGAAATAACCTCAATATACTTTATGCTTACTAATGTAAATTTCAAGGTATAATAAAATATACAATAAAAATTATAAAGAAATATATTATACATATATATTAGATTTAATGTGTAAGAAAAAAGAAATTATATACATACCTTTTTCTTTAAAGCATCAATTTGAAAAATATATTTTAAGCTACCACTACCTATTAAGGATGTAGGAAGTTTTAATTCCATACAATTTAAGATGCATTTTGTTTATTTGTCCACGTCGAATGATCCAACAATTTTAAATTATTGTCTTCAGACACTCTTTCATAAAGATAGTAAAAACCATTTAATATTGGTGGACAGTATTGATACATATAATATCTGCAATCTAATGTTCATTGATGCCTGTATTAAAATTGATTTAGACGAGTTTACAGAAACATTATTAATTATATATTATAATATAAATTGTGACATGAACGTAATTTTATCAAATTATAACAAATCTAAATTGTGACATTTACTATGATTTTCATATGTTTTCTGCAAATGTTTTTTTATATACTTTGTAAGATATTAATTGTTAACAATGTGAAACATTGTAAAGGTTTATAAATTATGGTACCAAAATTGTCAGCGAATATAACCTCAAATATAAAAGAATTATAGCAAGTAATATATCACTTACCTTGGGATTTACACATAGAGGACCATAGTGCATATGATCCAAGAAAACATGTAACTTCAAAAAAGATGAATGCTTTAACCTTCTTGCGTGTAACAAAATTGTTTGATGGTTTCTTGTAAAGCATACTAAATAGGTAACAATACGATTTCCTAAAATGGAAATTATCAATACGGCAAAGTACTAAATATCTTTCGAGATATCGACTTCCAGTTCGATACGAAAACATAAATGGCATTTGAACAAAAAATTTCGATACATTCTCTCGATGATAAAAGCGGAAAATTTAAAACACGTTAACTAAATGCAAAAAATAACCAGTAAATTGTTATCTATATTATCATAAATGGTTGGAAATAATTAATCATTAATTTCCAATCGGTTAAAAGAAATTTCTAATTAAAATGGAACTTTAACTATGCAATGTGTTACTCAATTTTCTTTAATTTATCAATGATATATAAAATCTAAAATTACACAAGAACTACACAAACTTTTACAATTCTTAAACCGAAAGAATTAACAATAGTAAAATATTAATCAAATAATGCTTAATTATTGTACACTAAAACGTGAATTTAATAATATATATATTTTGGAAAAAGTACAAGCAGTTGTACCTATAGAAGTAGTCAAATTTAAATAATGTAGAAGAATATTTATTATACAGCTTTTTATACATAAGCACAGATAAAATATATAAGCAGGGAACATGATTTCAAAGAACAATCAAGAATGTACCTGCAACTAGTGTTCATTGTATATCTAGCAATAAAAATATAATCACTAAGATAATTTGTCTAATCATTATAACAAATTACATGGTGTTTTATTTAATTTTACATGTAGAGTATCTAAAATTAAGCTCAAATTATGTATCAAAATTTAGTATAATTTTAATGTCATTAATCCAAAATTATTACAATAATCTATTATCGAATTTATTACAATTTTTTAACCTATTATTAGAGCGATATCTTACTAGAATAAGTTGGTACAAGATGTAAGTTATGCTTTAAAAGATTATGAAATACATTTCCATTTCTGAAAAATAAGAAAGTATCCATTATTACATACACTATGCATAAAGAAATATTTAGTCACACGTATATCTGACTTCTTATAGTTTATTTAAAATATTTTAGATAAATTAACATAAGTAATTAATTCACGCACTATTGGTCTTAAAGTTATACAATTAGTACCTATTATTACACAATTTTAATATGAAATAGCTATAGCAAATATTTTAAGAACAAACACACATTGCTATTGTAATAAACGGCAGTTTTTTGCATAAAATCATATATTTATTATCTTATGTACATATGAAATGATAAACTAAAATCTAAGAATTTAAGAAAGTAATGTAGAGTAATAATAATGTACATAATTATTATTTAACAAGTTTTATTTCTTTAACGAAGCTGAATCATATTATACTCTAATTATATTTGCCATCCTAATAAACTTCAATTGCACTATGGAAACATAACTGTCATGTAAAGACATCATTTTTAATCCTTAAATATTATTCGGTAATAATTATTTAGTATCCTTTTTATATTGATATATCTGGTTCAAAATTATTAAAACATTATTTATTATGATCCAACATAATATAATACTGTTTAAAATGTATTAACTTCACTTGAATTATTTATTTTACATTCTTTATTATAAATTAAATATAAAACCACTTTCCTTTAATTTTCAGGATTCCATTAAATATTTTCGCCCCCTATTTACAAAAAATAATTTAAATAATTAATTTCTTTATGAAAATCTATATATTTACTTTGTCCAACATGGCATATTTTGTATTTCAAGTTATTGTATTACACTAACTATATAGAAAAGAAGAATCCTAACAATTTTCCTTATTGCTTTTCTATGTTTCATGAACAAATATAAAAATAGTTAATTGTAAAGAAGCAATTATGTTGCCTCTACTATAAATGACTGAAAGAAAAAGTATCATTAAAAAGTTTATGATAAAGATATAAATTACATTTGAATGCCATTTAATACTAATTTTTAAGTAAAATTTATTATTTGCTGTTTGTTATATTGCAAACTATATTAAATTACATATTATTTCAAATTATGAGAAATTTCTGGAAATTTTTAATTAGATTACAAAGTGCTAAGGCACCACAGGTAAATGCAAATGATAATAGTGATTGGTATCATATTATCTCACTACAATTTTAGGGGCATGAGCTACAGATGCTTTGTGTAAAATTTTCCTGTTTATGTAAACGTGTTTATAATATTATTTGTTCTAAAAGTATTTGTACACACATACTCTAAGATTCTTTTGTATCATAAAACATCCAATTTGTTTTCAACTATCTACTATTAAATTTAACAAAGGAAAAACAAAGATTTTAGTATTTTCATTTTCTCACTTGTGATTATACTTCAAGATACATTATTCACTCTTACCATATTGTTTGAAAAAAAAAAGCATAATCTGTATTATACATATGATTCGTTTATATTCAATGATTAACAAATACTTTTAATGAAAAGTGAAAAATGCTTATTGCAAATAATAGGACATTCTACCTATTACATACAAACACGGAAATATTTTTGTTTAAACTGAAAACTGTTCATAGAACATGTGCTTGATTTATAATTCTTTTTGATTTGTAATTTCAAAATATTGTTGCGAGTATAAATGACGATTTTCATTGCTTTGTAGCTATAGAACTTAAAATGCAACGTACAAAGATACTTTATTACTACTAAGTAACCAATGTTTTCACGTAAATATTGTAAATCTATGCAATCTATTGATATTATTTTAAAATTTGTATGAGTGTGATAATATTAAGGCAAATGTAGTATTTATAAATTTTTGACACCAAGTGTATACATTTTAATATGAAATCACAGTACAGAATCAAGGTACTAACTTTAGGATTTATGCTCGACTTTCAAATTCAATTTAATTTTTTTAGTAGTAAAACTGTTAAAATTCTGAATTTTAGGATTAATTTTGAATGAAATTATTTTATAATATAACTCAAACATTTGAAAACTGTAATTTTCTGAGTGATATATAATTACTAACAATTTTATTAAAATGAAACGTTTTCATGTAACAATCGTATTAATTTTACACTGCATCATAATTTAAGACATCTGTATACAAATTGTAACGTACAATATCATGTAAGATGGCAGTTACATACACAGAGAAAAATGAGAATTATATGATCCTCATTGATAATTAAAAAAATTAATTAGAAATTCATGACGCACGACATTGTTATTTACAGCATTTTATTATTAGAAAGATTAAATTTGACATAATTTTTGTCAAAACAAGTTTTTATGATAATCTCGCAAAATCACAAATTTTAATTCTTGTAGTACTTTTTTGCTAATGCACATTAATTTTTCTTTTTTACATCAACGCTAAGACGGAATTTGTTGAACTTATATTTTACCATAACCTATATTAGTCGACATATTATGCTGCTTTTTGCTTTCAATTAATAATTCACATATGTAATTTTGAATTTGTTTTTTACAAACAAACGGGCTGTTAAGGTTGCATACAAAATTGATTAATGAAAAAGAAACAGTTTTTCGAATAACGCCCGATTGAGTTTTAAAGAATTAGCAGTTGATGCTAGTGTATCTCTCATTTACTCTCAATGGTAGTCATTTATCCAGACTTACAGTAATGAGGCATAAAGAGTTAGCTGCTGGGGGGCAGGAAAATGTCAGTATGACGATCAATATGACAGTCTTTTGAACACCATGAGGTCATGGGGACACTGATACACTGTAGTTCGCTACGATACCATTTCATGCCATCCACTACCATTTGAGGAGTTGCTTTCTAATGGTACTAAAAATTAAAGACAGAAATCGATTTATGGTCTAAATCTAAGTGCATATTTCATTCTTGACTTATATTATACATATGAAAATTAATAACCACGATTAAATAATTATATTAAATATTATAATTTTACTATCGTATTAAGTTTGATAAACTTACCAGTCTTGTCACTTTCACCTTTTTCTGGAGAAGATGACCTCGGTCCCCATATTCTCACTGTACAATCGTCTGACACGGAAGCCATCATTTGATGATATACAGGATTCCATGAAACACAATTTACTGTTCTACTGTGTCCTGTTAAAATTGCTATAGGTAGTTCCCTTTTGATATGCCACACATACACTTTAGTGTCTGAAACACAAATATAATCATAGACCATACATTTTCTTTTATCATACCCTTAAACGAATACAACGATAATGATAATTTATATGATTTTCACTGCTTCGTGTTGTTAATAACGCATCCTAATATTGATTTGTAATCAGTACATGATTTGTATTACATGGTTGAACATACCCTCACTGCCAGATGCAATAAAATCTTGATTTACACCACCAAAACAACTATGAATTGTAAAATGCCCTTGAGTAACTCCTTGAAAACGTCTTACTAAACATCTATCTTGTAAATCCCAAAGATGTACACCTTGATTAGCTACATTTAAAAGTGCAAGTCGATCTGCTTTGTTTACACTAAATGACATTAGAGGATGATCTTCTTGTAATCTGAAAAACAGACAAATATTACCACAAATACTACAATACATTACTCGTCTAAAATAATTATAATTTTACATTGTAAAGTCACATAAATCGTCAAAATTATATCCTCGAATTCGGTGATGTGAATCAGCAGCAAGAACCGTTTTACCATCGTTTTTACACCACAAACATTTCACTCGAACTCCTTCCCAAGATTCTGATACATTGCCTTCGATGTCCTAAAACATTGTTTGCATATTTGATATACAGTTATTTCGATGTATAAATGAAATGTGTTGTATAATAAATTTAATTGATATGTTACAAATTGATAGAATTGTCCACGAAGACCTCCTGCCACAAATTTACGTGAATCAGGATACCAAGCACATGCCGTAAGTGAATCGTCGGTATTCTGAGTTACTGTTGCACGTAGTTCATAGTCAGGCGGGTCGATGCTCCAAAGCCAAAGCTCAGGACAATCTTCAGGTCCACAAGCGATTAAAAGACTACTATCAGGACTCCAAGCAATTAGTGCCACTCCATAAGTATGACCTTCTAGCGTTTTTCTGTGTGTTACTCTTAATGTTTCCTGTTGTTGATAATAACAAAATTATTAATTGTTTTAAAAGAAGAATTTTTTATTTGTCTGTATTCAATAATATGCTTACTGGATCCACGTCCCAAATAATTACTGTCATATCTTTAGAACCTGTAGCTAGCTTACGACCATCTGGAGAGAATTTACAATACCATACTTCATCACAATGATTATTGAGCACCTGTATAGTATGGCACGGAAACTGTTCTTTGCTACAGCTGTGGTCCACGAGTAACGATACGTTCTCTAAACTTGTCTAATACAAAAACAAAAATTGTAATTATATCAATGTAAAACTAGAGAATAGTTAAATACAATTTAGGGACAGAAATCAATGCTAATCCATTAAGTATTCTGTTAAACATTCGTAAAAATGAATACAAATAAAATAATTTTGTTATACAAGAATACTACAAAAATATTAGAAATAAAACTTCCGATTTTTAAAAGGTAATAAATAATTACTACCTGAGTGTGTGTTACATGGTATGTACACTGTTGATTTTGCATTTCCACAGCTTGGCACAAAAGAGAGTGAAGGCGTCGTGGTGGTAACATAATAGAGGGTGGCAGGTATTTCTGTAGTCTGTCCATTAGAGCAGCTCTCGAAACTGCACCTTTGCCATCCCAGCCTGCACGTGTCTGTTAACAAGTGTCTATTTGCTAGTGATCAAATTTTCAGTAATAGGTTAGTTTCAGAATATTTTTATATGTTTTCAAAATTGATTTCTTTAAAAGTTCATTAGTAATGAAACAATAATACAGAGAAATATATATAATGCATTTTACTACATGTATATGTGTGAGTGTACAATATAATATTGCATTATTAGTGAAGTACATAACATAGTACCTGCAATTCATCACGTCCACTGCACATCATAAATGCAGATAATTGATGGACACGACCTGTGTTATGACCTAAAGGTGTGAGTTCATTGCGTAAAACTTGCAATGCTTCCAATACTAATCCTTCCTCCAAATATTCTAAGTATTTTTGTTCTAGTAGTAAGAACTTCATTTCCTGCAAATGAAAAGTTAATGTATTACTTATTCAATTACTTTTAAAAGTTTCTAAATTTGAACATACTTACCACTAGACTTTGATTTGCACCATTTAAAAATGTTTTAAGCTCACTAAGGTCATGTTCTGCCTTGGTCCAGTCACCATCCATAACATGCTGTCTAAACTTTGCTGCTGCTGGATGATCTAGACGACAACCTGACTCTTGCATAAGAAGATCTGCGGTACGACTACAAACAAATTTCATACAGTTAATTATAACTTGTCAATGGTAATGAAACATATTAATTATATAATTTTATTAAAAACATATTTGAATTAATAAATTCCATTTGTGTAACTATTCATTTCTATTTAATAGTAACTGAACTCTTTTAGTATGTAATTAAAGATTGTACAGAATATAACAATATACTCATTATAAATACAATCTGTGCACCTATTATGCACATACCTTTTTTCAATTGCCTATATCATTATAAAGCAAATATAACTTGCAGATACTAGTGACTATATTTCAAAGTTCTATAATTAGCTTTCTCCCACCACATACTGCACAGTCCAGATAGGTTGTGATACAATACTTCTGATAAATGCATACATACAAAGAAAACTTAAGAAACAAAGAAAACATTGCAAACTTATAACAAAGAAAGAAAGCTTAGCACTAAAGTATAACTAAAATATCAAATCTTCAATTTGAAGTACTATAGAAATCACATAATTCCCATTCAATGTACACAGGTTTTCATTGAAAATATTTGTATCCATTGCAATTTATAAATACATAGGACCGAACAAACGGTACATACTTAAGTCCAACTGTCTTCAAATGTTGTCCAATGAGTCTCACAATATCTTGATTAGTTTTGTCCATTACTTTCGGAGGTCCTAAGTTTTGATTCGTTTCCCCGTTCACACCATTGATGTCATTATCTGATTCCGGTATCACGTTGCCATTCGCATGAGGTCCGCCAGAGTCAGCTGTAGAGCCATTTTGCTGAAGCCCGGACGAAATGCCACCGTTTGAAGTCTGCTGTTGCATTATGCTGTCATGCACACGGAAATGTTACCCGTGATGACAATGGTACTCCGCAATATTAACACTTATGTGTATTAATCGGTACATTCTATCTTGACTCAAGTATTTCTTCTTTTTACTTTTTTTGCAAAAACTTTAAAATTCTATGCTTGTATACAAAAGATCTATGACTATTCGATGAAAGGATTTCAAGAAATAAGAAAACCGCTTGATAGACAGCACATATGAAAGGAATCCGACGTCGATACGTCTTGAGATTCTGTAAGGAAGAAGATACACGTGAGAGCGTCATTACGAAGGGGGTAAGCCCCTTCGTGTGTTGACTACGCGTTCGCGGTGTTCTAGGGCCCTGATTGCGTTACCGATAGTTTTCCATCTCAGGATCGGTGTGGTGCTCGTCCGCTGGTCGTAGGGTAGTCGGCAGAGAACTACGAGACCTTTTGCACGGTGGCGGAGCGAGTCCACCGTCGTCTGACTCGCTGCTCGAGGCCAGGCTTATGCGCGTACCGCCCCGTTTTTCACACGATTATTGTCCCTAAGATCGTTGGTGGGGCTGGGGCTGGAGCACGCACGCAGCCACGGTTGCGTTGCACGGAAAACTCGTAGCCTCCCCCCTTTTTTTTACACTTCTCTTTCAAACTAATCCGTACACCGTCTGTCCCGTCGGACCTGATGCCCGACGATCAGAAAACGAAGAAAAACAGAATTCTTGTACGACTGCCAAAACGGATACGAACAATGACTGCTACACAGCTGATACTTGTTTAGATCGTCGTTTACGTCACACTGTGATCTTTGCAGATAGTTCCGTTGATTATGGCGCCCGCTATGTCCGCTCAGAAACGTTGCTTTTCTAAACCTATCAAAGTCGTGCGTCTGCCATTTCCACCGTTAGATGGTAGCATTTGTCTGATAAAAAATAATACAGCGGGTAGTTTGATTTTATTCCTGTGTATTTTGATAAATCTTGAACATTTCTTATATACTTTACATATTTCTACTTTGAATACACTTATTATGGTAGAATAAACATTTTGGATATAATATAATTAATCTTTATGCAGGCATATGAATAAATTATTTATTTACTATAAAAAATGTTTATGGTATTAATACAAAAAATAACTAATAATTACCATTCTGTAATATGTAATAAATTTTGTATACTTTCATTGATGCAATACTAACAGTATAATTAATAATTTTAATATATTTAATAAATTATTTTAATTTAATATATTGCATTTTTATAATTACATTTTTTTATATTAGCAAAATGTGAATTATAATACGTGTATAAACATAGAAATTATTTTAATATAAAATGAAATTTTTATTAAAATATAATAACATAGTATATTAAAGTATAATAAGCATCAGTTGTATAATAACAGGGGGCTTCGTTTCATTTAGATTGTAGTAGAAAATATCAGAACAAATTTCAAAGAATTGCAATAAAAATTAAAGTTTTAATCGTCTCAGATATAACAATGGTTTTCATAAGCGATATCTGAAGTAAAATTTATTGAAAAATTTTGTCGAATCACCTTGCGTCTAATCGGAAAATTTGAATAGTTCAGTGAATTCGCGCGTAGTTTCGTAAAGTGCGAGAATCGCGGCGGTTAGTTTAGTCGACTATGGGAAATCGGCGCGCGCCGCTCGTCAGTCGGTCGC